GTTATCATCCCTTTGTTCTTATTGCAACGGAAGTTGGGTATTAACGGGATTAGGTTATTCCAATTAAGGGTTTGAAGATCATCACGGAAGTAGATGATTGAATAATTAGGAATCTAGGCATGGTGTTTAATGTCCCTTATTCGCTTGATTCCACGGAAGTAGGCTTGATAGTTAATTTGGGAAGCCATTGATAACTTGGAATAGACCTTTGGTATTATTATTAGGGATTGCTTTTCTTCTTGTCAATTGATTTATATATTGGGGGTAGATTTATTAGTTTATCAATCATAATCGTGGTAATGCTTGATCTTGGATGCTTTAGTTTATTGATTAATATTTCCTCTAGTTAATTGTGTTATTTAATATATTAGTTGATTATTATCATCCATTATTGATTGGTGACGTGCTTAGTGATTAATTGAGTCTGATTAATTGAATGAACCATAGTCTCTTGGGATTCGATCCTTACTTGCCCTACTACACAGTTAGAAGGAATAGTTAGGTTATTTTTGTTAGGTACGCGATAAGCCTATCACTAGTAAACAATTGGATATTAGATATGGTATACTTAGACAAATTTGAAGCAAAACAAAAATTCATTAAAAATAAGTCGGTCATTGAAGACCAGCAAAATATTCAAAGCCCCGGCCCCCTGTCCGGGTAAATACAAAGCAAACGGCACGCAGGCCGTGGAAAGAATACATAAAGCTTAAGAAGGGGGCAGTTCAGTATTAGCAGCTGCCGCCTGGTCAGCACTCTTCTTGCTGGACTCGGCTTCATCTGCATCCTTTTTTGATGCCTTACCCCCAAGCGGCACAAGCGCCACTACCGGCTCCTCCTCCTCCAACTCCTCCCCCAACGCCTCTTCTTCAGCAGCCGCCAGGATCTGTTGATTATATGCATCCGAGCACTGGCGGTACGTTCTTTCCCAAGAGGCAAAGTCGGCACTGGGGAAGAGGCGGCCCCAGGTCATGCGCTGGATTTGAGCGGAGTCTTCCATCATCTCCCGGACCAACTCTTTCTTCTCTTGCTCGGCCTTTTCCGAGAGCTCTTGGGTAAGACTCTTCTCCTGGGTCACCAGGCGTTCCTTTACGCTCGCCAAGGATTTCTCCATGGCTTCGTAAGAGTACATTTTCAGGCGAAGAGGTTTCAGCTCGGCCTGGAGATTTGTGATGGTCGCCTCCAGCTCGTCATTCTTCTTCTGGGCCGCCTCTAACTGAGCCCGAACAGCGGCGGTAGCCTGCGCCTGATAATAAAGAATATCAATGGTCAGTACTTCATTTTGGGCAATTTGAAACATTGCCTTATCACAGTCAGAGGCGGCCATAGCTTTTGCAGCCTTTACCTCTTTGTTTTTCCGATCAAGCGGCTTGCGAAGGCCGTTAACTCGGAGCAGGGCCTAAGTAAAAAACAAAAAAAAACAGGCGTCAGTTTCCAAACAAAAAAGAAAACAGGCGTCCAGAAAATTCAAATACTCAAAAATATGCTAAGTATACCTCAGCAAGGACCCCTGCAATCCCGTCAAGGTCAAGGGTGCCGACACCCCTGACCGCCTCCCTTTCAGCCGGAGGAACTGCCCTGATCATAGACTTGGCCATCTCTACCAAGTCAGGCCCCTGTGGGCCGGCTGCATCAAGCATAAACAAACGGATTAGACTTAGTAAAAAAAGAGCAAGTCTAAAATTTACAAGGACAACTTCATACCTCTAGGCGGCCCAGTTGGAGCTTTAAAAGAAGTGGCCGGCTGTTTCTCAGCCGCTACCTGTTTCCTGGCAGAACCAGGAGAGCTCCCAACAGTCGTCTTCCGGGCCTTGGGGTCCGGCTGTTGGGAAGATGAAGCTCTTGGAGCACCCGTCTAAAAAAAAAAAAAAAAAAAAAAAAAAAAAAAAAGTCAGTATATGCATAAACACTCCAAAAAGAGGGTGAAAGGTTCGGAGCTCACCAAGGGTGCCCCCTTCTTGGGGGAGTCGGTTGAAGCTTGTTGCATAATAGAGGCCCGCAACATGGCCGCCGCAGTCTTGGAGGCGGTGATTTTGCTCATGGCGTCAGCTGCAAAAACAAACGGCAAAGTTAATAAAAGATAAACAACAAATGTATGAAACAACAGAATATTCGACAGGCCGACTACCTCTTGAGCACCGACTGCTGAGGCCACAGGCGGCCAAAAAGTACTCGTCATAGAGCCACTTGAAGCTCAGGACGCAGTGCAGGGGTACTTGCTCTCGTACCCCTGAAGTAGAGTCGACCCTCGACTCTACTTTAAAGAGTCCTTTGTCAAGGATCTCTTTCTTAGCCTTGGGGGGAACAGGCGGCATGCTACGGCCGCCTGCAAGAAGGGGCGGATTCCTGTTCCACCTATTGAAGCGCTTGTTCTGCTCAATGTCAGAACTCTCAATGATGAGGAAGGTGCTCCGCCAGTCCTTCCACTTGTTTGCTTTACCTCTCGTCATGAGGTAGCCCCTGTGGCTTGTCAATTGATACCAGCCGGTACCGCCTGACTTAGGGGTCCGGCTGAGATAGTTCATGTGGGCGAAAGCCTCGAAGCTCGGCTCCACCCCGTGCAGTTCGCACCCGGCCACATAGCCGAGTACGTTGACCCAGGAGTTTGGGGCTAACTGCCATAACCCCAACTCATACCCATCCAAAATCCGCTGAACAGCCGGATGTAATGGGAAGCGAAGCCCTGCCTTGATGGCCGCCTCGTAGCAGCCAAAGCAGGAGCTTTCGTAACTAGAACCAGCCGGCCAGACGACTGTGTCTTCTGGATCCGGCACAAACACTAGAAAATCGGGGCCCATGGTGTGGTTGGCAATAAAGCTCTCCACTTTCTCTTGCATGGCTGTGATTCGGCCCCGAGGTACCGTGCAGTAGTAGGGGGTATTTAGCTCTTGGTAAGAGGCGGATGGTTCCGCCCAATTGTCCCCCTTCTCAACTGTGTGAGAAAGTCTCGCCTCTTGCAGGCGGCTGTTTTTCTCTTCTGTACCCAAAGAAGCATGGCCAGAAGAGCTTGACGAGGAATCGTCCTCGGACGAGTCTGAAGAGGACGACTCCTCCCCTCTCTCGGAGGGGCCCGCCTCCTCTCTTTGAAAAGGAGCAGATTTGTTAACTGTTAAATTGGAAGGGGTCACTATGACTCCCCCCACAGAATTGCCGGCATCCAGGCCGCCTTGTCTCACTTCAACATCTGGCGCCTAGTCAGATGTTTCACTAATCGGCACCCTGTGGGAGGAGCCGTCTGAATTTGAGATCCTAGCTGTCTTTTTTGTTCTGGCCATCCTGCACTGCATAGACACAGATACAGTCGGACTTTGTATAAAGGGCAAAGATGGGTCCGAAAAAGGGCAGGCGGCACTCCTAGTCCTAGATTCAGCCGTCCCCGGTGACCGGCTGATCACTAACCTAGGTCGTGTCGTGTGCTTCCGTGGTGCCATTTCAGAAAATAAAAAGAAAATTAAGAGTAAGAGAACTGAGTTACCTGAACGAGTGACGGTTGATGAAGTTCTGAAAATCCTGTGTAGTCGGCTTGTCAGAACAGGCGGTAGGCAGAAAAAGTCCAAAATGTCAGAGCAAGTTCAGGGGTCCGAATGTTCTCAAATAGTTCTCAAAGTGTGAAAATGACTCAAGGCAACTCTCCCTTATATAGGCGAAGTGAGAAGGCGAAGGGTCACTTCCAGAATTCAAAATTTGGGCGGGAAAATCTCTCGTCCTTTCGCCGACTAACACCTGTAGCAGGTCGTCGCCCGTTACTGTGCGACACCTGTCACAGGTAACACGTGACCAGTCACGTGCCACCTGTGAGGGGCAAATGATTAGGGGATTTTGCTCCCACCAATCGGAATGCGCCAAGTGGACCAATCAGGTCCTGCCAAGTGTCTCCTAGTTGGAACTGTCAGGACTTGCCACGTGGCACGCGCTTATTCGTCCACCTTGGACCTGTTATGTCACGACATGTGGCATACTCCATGCCTAACGGAGAACCCGGCCACCCAGGCCCAACTTCCGAGGGAAGCCCAATCAGCCCTAGGTTTACCTAAACCTAGGATGGACACGTTTCCCAAGGTTATAAATACCTCCCTTAATCCTCATTAAGGGGACACGCGAAAAACATTACGGAACACACTAATAACCGGCTGATCTCGCTAACAAAGCAGATTACCTACATTAAACACTCTCACCTAGAGAGACCTTATTACTTTAATTTCCGCATTAATTACTCCTTAATCAGGTACTAACTTGACCGTTGGAGGCGGAGCTCACAGGAGTCTCCGTTATTTTGCAGGTACAGGCGTCCGGTTCCAGTCTCGGAATTGTAACTCTCCCGCAGGACATCAAAAAACCCCGAAACAAATGGTATTAGATGTTCTCAATGAAATCTAATTAAGAGAACATATGTGCCTGCAGTTCAGTCCCTTATTGTTGGAGTCCCTTTTGTTTTGTTCTCAATGATTATGCTAAGAGAGAACAACATTGTTGCCTAGATGTGTGTCCCTTCATGAGTCCCATCATGAGATGTATGTTCCTACCTGATCTAGGAGTCCCATAGTGTCTCTGTGTGTGAAAAATCCAAATGATGAAGGGACTCATTTGACACAAAAATTGATAAGTTGGAATTGCTCCAACAACTTCAACTGTAAGTTGTTGTTGAGGGAACCACTTATGAAATTTATATGATAAAGCAACATCCTCTGATGGATTTAAATATGTGTGTGTTTGTGTATCACAATGGAAAACATAATGTAATCACTTCTTGTACATAAAACAACCACAATTGATATCATTTAGTTGTTCAAAAGGTTTTACATGTTCAAAAGAAGCTAGTTAAGACTGCCTTACAATATATGGCCTGAATTTTAATAAAATACACATAACCAATTAATTTCAAACAATGGTAAAACTAAAAACACAAAAGACTACCTACTATTTTACCATTTGCTTCCATGCTCTTCATTGGTTATGTGTGGCAATGTCACTGTCACCTTCCTTATGTGTCTGAGATGTGTTCAGTCTGCATGAACTTGCATGCCTTCATCCTCTTCATTGCCTTCACCTATTGATATGAATAAAGTGTTGAGATAATCAACAGCTTGTTGAACCAAGCTAGGTCTTTCCAACCTTTTCTTCCCTTTGTGTGGTGGGGTAAAATTATTCCCACCTAGATGATTGAGGATTTCTTCCATGAAACATTGTAGTGTTATCCAACTGTACTTGTTCAATACTGGATTAAACAAGCCATAAGCCTCTTTGACCCTGTCTACGAGTTCCCCCAAGTTCTTAGGGAATGATTGGTACTGTATGGACTGTATGACATTGAACAAGCCAAGATCTAGCACATTCAAGTCAGGTGACTGTGCTGGCTGGTAAATGAACTGAATGTTGAACCCATCTGACTGACATGCAGCAATGAATTCCTCATCCTTAGGAATTTGATGAGGTCTAGCATTATCCCACTGAATCCATATGTCCTTAGACAGATGGGGTGGCCATTTACTTTTTATTGCTAGAATTACATTGTTGAGAAGCATTGCCTTGATTGCCTCCTTGTTTACATTTTGAGTTGCCTTCATTTCCACAGCTCCAACTTCTCGGTTCTTGCTTTTTTTCTTTGCAATGGTCTCATAAACAAATGGAAAGATTCCATACTTTCCATCATGTAGCACATGTCCATGGGTGTCAAAAATTGGCTTGCCAATCATTGCCATGAACATGCCTTTTACCTTGAATCTTTTGAACATGCACCTATATAGATTTGGTTCATTTGGCAGCAGGTAGAACCTCCTTGTTTCTGGGTTCAAGTAGAACCATTTTTCATCTATGGGTATGACTTGCTGCATATCCTCAAACTTTGGGTTAGCATTCTGTTCAGCATGCAGCAGATGACTTAAAATCCATTTTAGTCTTACTATCTTGTGGTTGGATGTCAAGGTTGGGTGATTTGTGCTTGTATGTGTTCTTAGCCTCCCTTTTTTCTTTAACTTTTGAATGGTGACATGGTGAAATATTGAGAGAAGCTCCATAGCTTCTCTCAGTTGTCCTTTTGTACAAAGGGACTGACTACAGAAACTCATCTGTATACTCTAGTGGTTTGGGTCTAGTTTTGCCAAGCTTCTTGCTTCTGAAATCTATCACATTCCCTTCGGCCATTTGTCTCTTTATGTCTTTGAATAATCTTTGTATTATTGATCTGTGAACATTGAACTTCCTTGCTTACTATGATAAAAAGCCTCGTGGCAAATCCTCACCATCCATCTTCACTAGAATAGCATCAACAATCTCTCTTTTTTGCATAACAGTAAGTTGTTTCTTGCCTTTGGGTTGCTGCATTGCTTCTTCATGTAACACATTTTGATCAATGTTGTGAGTTTCTTCCATGGTGCTTGAATCACTGTCTTCCATATTGCCTTCATCATTTAGCAATTGATCAATGCTAAAAAATTCCTCATCGAAAAATTCTGCCATTTTTGATAATTTTTGTAGTGTTGTTCCTTACAGATTTGAGGATTGGTGATGAAGTGGGGGTTGTTTTTTTTTTTTTTTGAAGTACTGAAGCTGAACCAGATTTACCTTAGAAGATGAAGGATGCTGCTTCTAACCTTGCACTAATTAGTTTTAGAAGGGTAGCTTAGTGTTGACTTTTGTGAAGAAAACATGGTGTAATTTGGTTAGGGTAGAACTTTTGGTTTGTATGAATATTTTGAACACTTAATTTTGTCAACATGTTTATATACCCTCCCTTGAATGAAAAATTCAAGTGGAGGGAAAAATTTGGTATGAAAAACTGAAAAGTTTCAAAAGTGGCTGAAATTTTAGGAGGGATTATTAAAACCCACTAAATTTCAGTTTCTTTCTCCTCTTTTTAAAAAACCGGGTCCCCTCTTTCCCTCTTTTTTTAATGAATTAATCACATGCCATTACTCTCACTTAAACACTCCTTAATAGTTTTGCCTAGGAGTCTGTGCTACCCCCCTTTGTTGCAAATAACTGTTAACAAAGGTAGTATTAAATATCACATGGAAAAGAGAGAAAGGAGGAGAGAGAAAGATGAGTGAGACCGCTTTTAATTGTACCACTGAAAGCTTATTGATGTGAATCAAGAGGGAAATTCTTTTGAAGAGCCAATCATATTGGTTTTAAATCCTATAGGGTTCGAGCTTGGAGTAAAGAATCAAGAATGGTTAATATGCGCAGCCATTGAAGAAGAAGTCAAGGACCAGTTGGGTTTTGACGACGGCAGCGGCGGCGACGCGCCAATCTGGGTTCCACGCGCCGGCTCCCTAGCTCCGGCCTGAGTCCAGCTACACGACGGTGGGGCGCGTGTCAATGGTGGCGGCGCGTGAGGTGGTGGTTCGGCGGCAGTACGAAAAGAAAGATTTTCTTTACTTAGTTTTTTCTAGAGTTTTTGCTTGCAAGTTTTTACCTTTCACTTGAAAGGGTTTTTCTTGGTTTAAGCAATTAGGGTTCTTCTTAATTTCTGTTATTTTAGTTTAAAATAATTTCTAAGTCAATTAGGAATTGTTTTAAGAAGTTTTAGGTTAATTAGAACTAGTCTTATTACTAGTTTCCTAGTTCCATTAGAATTGGTTTTCCTATTCTATCTAGGATACTTGGGGATCAAGGCTAGGGTTTTTTTTCCTAGTTCAAATAGACTTAGGAATAGTTAGTTTTAGTCTATAAATAAGGGATTTTTCGTGGCTTTGTCAACACACAACCAGAAAAATCAAATACAAGTTAATTGTTTGTTTTGCTTAATTGCTTACAAATTCTTTTGCTAGTTTTCAATTCAAGGAGTTATTTTGATAATTAGAACGTTCAATTCTTAGTTCTAGGAATAGTCTAAGTTTTGTTCATCAAAGTACTTAGTTCCAGGAGTGGTCTAGGTAATTTGAGAGGCATTGAATTCGTTCCAAGAGTGGTCGCTTTCAAGGTCATATCCGGTTTGTTATCCTTAAGTTGTTCGATTTTCTAAGGGGATTCGAAGGACTTATTTTAATTGTGTGATTTTAGATTCTTTATTAGGTTAAGGGGTTTAAATCCACATCACTTATATAGTACCATTGGTTGTTTAGTGATACTATATATGCATGTAGTTAACACCACAAAATGCATATATAATAACTACATACATACATAGTACCACTGAATATTCAATGGTACTATTTAATTACCTAATGATACTTTTAATCACTCAATAATACTACTCTAAAATCAGAATAAAAATTACGTGTAATTACGACTTTACTACTCGTTATGCAATTATTTATGAATAACAATACTCCCTTTAAACTCCCTCATGAGATAAAGGGAAGTATCAAGTTACTCTAGTTTTTAGAAAGATCCGAGTAAAATGATCGCGGACAGTTGACACAAATCATACAGTACTTGTGACAGCTAGTTCCTTCTTCCAAGAAATCAGAAACCAAAAAAAATACGAAATACTCGTATTCATCCTCAGAATCAACTGGGCCCCACCAAATTAAATAAAAAAGCAGAAAAAAAAACCTTAACGAACTGGGGCCCACTATGAAGTCCTACGTTACCAGCCCTATGGCGGGTCTTTTTAAACCTCCCATATTCACTTGAACTCTTCTCATTTCTCTTATCTCTAATTTTTTTTCTAAGTTTTTTCCTCCTTTAACTCTACATATAGAGAAAAACGTTTGACGCCCATGGTATTTTCCGGCGTCTTTCCCTCGATATTGTAAGTTTTCTCTCTTAATTATAGTATGTATTGCGTATATAGAAATATATATCATATAAACTATGTCATATACGATGTATATATTTAGAAGTTTATAATATTTGCATCTAATAATATGTTTATATATTAAAGAAAAAAATGAAAAATAAATTCTTCTTCAAATGAATGATTAGTGTAATTTCTATAATGTTAGGCACTTACCTAATTAATTTTTGGATTTTGTTTGACTTACCAATTTACCATTTCTCGTTAAAGCTAAGAATTTTTATAAACTTCATAATTTATGTATGTTCATGGGAGACGACTCTCTAAATTTTTTGCAATGGAACAGTACACACCTAATTTTTCTAGCAATTCAACTGCTTAGCAATAATAATACTTTATGTATTTCATATTGTTACTTAATTAAATCTCTTGCTTAGAATTCATCATTGTCTCTATTAAATAGAAAAGCATTTTAAATCATATACTTCTAATTAATATCAATAGATTTTGTATGTATGACCATATATTATACTTCGTATGAAGTAATTTAAATAATATGAATAAATGATACATCATATTTGACTACTTAACTAAGTAAAATTTTCTAATTCACATATTACTCCAACGTTACGAGTAATCTTTCAAATAAAAATAACATTGATGCATAGACTAACTTTATCTGAATATATATGCATGAGCTCAATTGATAACAACCGATAAAAAATGAAGGGAATACATAGTATATAATTACAATATAATTGAGGTCTTGAGGATAAGTTATCTTACTTATTTTATTTTGAATAATTAGGTGAATATTTAAACCAGGAATTTGGTAAAATGAGAAGACCATTACAAGGAGTTGTATGTGACGTCAAAGGAAGATTAGCATGTTACAAGCAAGATTGGGTTGGTGGTATCAGATCTGGACTTGGGTAACTTTTATTTTTCCTAGTCCATATTTATAAGATTTTTTTTTGTTTTTTTTTTTTTTAATGAAAGTGAAATTTTTATTTTTAAATAATTTGATTCAATATTATATTAATTTTTATTATATTTATTTATGATGTTGGAGTACAGGATACTAGCCCCAAGTACGTACATCTTCTTTGCATCTGCTCTTCCTGTCATAGCCTTTGGGGAACAACTCAGCAGAGATACAGGTGCTCTTCCTCTTATACCGTTATTCGACTCATGTTTTATTAGGATACGAGTAAATATTTTCTTTTTACGATATATTGACTTCTACATACTCCGTATAACACATAATTTTAATACTTCCTTCATTTTTAAACACTTGCTTTACTTTTCATTTTCGACCGTTTTTAAATACTAGCCCCATTTCCTTATTTGAATTTTTTTTACAATATTTAATTCATTTATCTCAATTAGTGGGACCCTATAGACTTATATTTTATTATCTTTAGATTCTCTCTCCTCCAATTTACCTTTCACTAACCACACTACCTCTATTCCAATTTCCCCTAAAACTCCGCGCATGGAGAAATGGAGCAAGTATTTTAAAACGGAGAGAGTATATACTCGGCCAGTTCGTCGTATCTTATAATCCCTCCGTTTCATATTAAATGCAACACTTTTTATTTTCGGATGCTTTATAATAATTGCAACACTACTATTTTTGGCTAGGACCCACCATTATTTTATAAGTTCTCTCTCCCACTAACCCCACTTTCACAAATATTTTATTATTTCTCTTTCCTACCAACCCTACTTATACTACTTTTTTTATTTATTATTTCTCTCTCCTACCAACAATATTTTATATTATAAAAAAACCTCTTTTGAGCCCCACCCAATAAATTTTCTTAAAGTTTATGAACATCCTGCATATAATATGAAACGGAGGGAGTATTCATATTAGAAATAATTATAAAAAGTTGATTTATTAAAAATAAACATAAAAATTATTCCAATAACAAATAATTAAATTAGTTAAATTTATAATTACTCTGTAATAAAATATAGTCAAAGTCTGATTTTTTTAGGGATAATAGCATATAAGCCGTGCAAAAAAAAAAAATGTTATATGTACATGTATTGAAATTTGATAACAAAGGAAGTTCTAGTACTCCGTAATTATTTTGTACATCATTGTATTTGTACACATGGGCTTTAAGCTGGACACCTTACTTCAGGTATTACAGTTGGCCCATATAAAAGCCCAATTTTGAGAAAGGTGAACCAAAGTTCCTGCCACTAGACCTAGTCTTGCTTAGTTTCGGACCTTTCAATGTAGATATGTTGTTTTTCAATACGAATATAGGAATTTGCTACTTCATTATTAACTTTATATGTCAAAAGTGATGTATGTATATAAATATATTTCCTTCTATATGTAGATGGAAGCTTGAGCACGGTTGAGACTCTAGCTTCAACAGCAATATGTGGGATCATACAATCATTTTTTGGTGGACAACCTCTATTGATAGTTGGGGTTGCAGAACCAACTGTGATTATGTACTCTTACCTCTACAACTTTGCGAAAGGGCGGTCCGATTTGGGACAAGAACTTTATCTAGCTTGGGCAGGATGGTATAACTTTAAAATTTCTGAACATATCTTAAGAACATGATGACTTTAATATAAGGTTGTCTACATGCACGACATTCTTACAAAAAATTGTTACCTTATTACTCAGGGTTTGTGTATGGACTGCCCTTATGTTAGTTCTTCTTTCGATATTTAATGTTGCCTCGATCATCAACCGGTTTACAAGGATTGCTGGGGAGCTATTTGGCATGTTGATTACAGTCCTCTTCATCCAAGAAGCTATCAAGGTAGTTATAATATGAAGTAGTTTACTAGGTGAACTTCGTTTTATTTCATAAAGTCAGTATTGATCTTATGATTTTATTTTATGCAGGGTGCTGTAAGTGAGTTTGGAGTTCCCAAGGCCGAGGATTCTAGTGAAGAGCAATTCCAGTTCCAATGGCGGTATGTAAATGGGTTGTTGGGCCTCATTTTTACCTTTGGTGTTCTTTCCACGGCCTTAAAGAGTCGTAGAGCAAGATCATGGCGGTATTGTACAGGGCGTATCAGAAGCTTCACTGCAGATTATGGAGTTCCTTTGATGGTTGTGGTTTGGACTGCCTTATCATATAGCGTGCCTAAAGGAGTTCCACAGGGCGTACCTCGAAGACTCTATAGTCCTCTGCCTTGGCAATCTGAATCCTTGTGCCATTGGACTGTGATCACGGTAAGCATTCATTATGCAAATTCAGGTTTATATGACAGTTGAGAAAGTGTTAAAATTTACTCTGCTGTAAAATTCTGAACATTTTGTGATATGTGAGATTGTGTTTAAAATGCAGGATATGGCAAAGGTGCCTGTAACATACATTTTTTCTGCCATAGTCCCGGCTTTGATGGTAGCAGGACTGTATTTTTTCGATCATACTGTTGCTTCACAATTGGCCCAACAAAAGGAGTTCAATCTAAGAAAACCTTCTGCTTACCACTATGATATCTTGGTTCTTGGACTTATGGTATGATCCATAAGTATTTTCCTTCTCATTTTATCATATACTATTTCATTGAAACTTAATAAAGTGATTGATTATCTTAAACTACATGACGCGATTTGTAGACATTGATTTGTGGACTTCTTGGACTTCCACCTGCAAATGGTGTTCTTCCACAATCTCCAATGCATACTAAGAGCCTTGCTAGCCTTAAAAAGCAGGTACGTGTTCAAAATACTAGTATTAAATTATTAATTAAGATCGTAGTCTTGTTAGTACTGCTGTCATATTTTAGCTTAACTCGCATATATTGCAATCGAATTACAGTTAATAGGGAAGAAGATGGTTGAATCTGCCAAGGAAAGCATTAAGAAGAATGCTAGCAGAAATGAGATCTATGGCCAAATGCAAAATGTTTTTATCGAAATGGATCAAAGTCCTGATGTAAGCTCTTAAGATGTTCTTTAATTACATTTTTTTTTTCAGTTTTTTGGACAAGTGCTCTTTAATAACATGAATTCTCGAGTAGTATTATCAATGAATAAGACCATAACAGTTTGTTATTTTAGCCCTATATAGTTGCCAAGGAGCTTGAAGAACTAAAACAGGCAGTGATGAAGGGAGACAGCAGCCCTGAATCAAAGGACAACAAGCCTTTTAGACTCGATCACATCGATGCATATTTGCCTGTTAGAGTCAATGAGCAAAGATTGAGCAACTTGTTACAGTCAGTCCTTGTAGCAGGCGCTTTGTTTGCTATGCCCGTGATCAAGTTGATACCCACCTCTGTTCTTTGGGGATACTTCGCGTACATGGCCATTGATAGTCTCCCAGGAAGCCAATTTTGGGAAAGAATCCTCCTCCTTTTTGTCACTCCATCTAGGCGTTACAAGTAAGGCTCACATTAACTAAAATCTTATTCTAAAATGTTGGCTGCTACATTTCGAGTTCTAATATATAAGTGACTAATATATACTTACTTGGATGCTTAGTGTCACAATGTGATCATGAAGAGGGATAATAGGCCATGCCCTATGCACGGTCTATATACGACACACACTAAACCTTTGTCATCGAATCATGCTGATATAAGTCCTTTTGATGCAGGGTTCTGGAAGATGCTCATGCCTCTTATGTAGAATCAGTGCCCTTCAAATACATTGCTGCTTTCACAATATTCCAGTTCATATACTTGGCTATTTGCTTCGGAATTACCTGGATTCCAATTGCTGGGATTCTATTTCCTTTGCCTTTCTTCCTTCTCATAAGCATACGCCAATACATGCTCCCTAAGCTGTTCCACCCGGCTTATCTGCAAGAACTAGATGCTGCTGAGTATGAGGAGATTGCTGGTGCACCAAGGCGCGCTCATAGTTTGTCTTTCAGAGTAAGTAATTTGACAGTTTGATGTTGCAATACATTAATTTTACCTAATAATTTTTTAGACACTAATGATAACTAAAATCATACTTCGTATAAGGGTAAGATTGTGATCGTATTTACCATATTGGTTTACAGAGGGATGCTCTCGAAGATGAGCTTGTAGGAGATGATGGTGAGATATTTGATGAACTGACAACCAGCAGAGGGGAGTTTAAACTCAGAACCTTGAGCTTTGAAAATCCTCAGGTTAATTTTTTATTAAAAAAACTAATTTCTATAGTTGATAGTAGCACATATAGAATTATGAAACATCAAATTAAAACTTATTCACTAGTCACTACCTTAACTTAGCTATACTTGTGCATTTTCAGGTTCGACCACACGAAGTTCTTCATCCAGAGTGAAGCAAGTAGAAAAGATATTATTCGATCATGCATAAAATTTTTGGTATAATTTGAATTCTTAAGTTTGTATGATAATACCAATGATTTCTTAGTCGAAAAATTAAGATTGAGGTTATAACCTGTAAAAATGTATAGGTTAATTTAAGGTCCAAATTAAAGCTTGATTTCCCTTCATTAAATGAGTATTTATGTAAACTTTGCTAGGAGGGGCTTATCATGTACCAGTTCATCATGCACAAACTTAATGTATTGCTTTCCATAAATTGTTGTATTGAAATTATCAGTGACATCTTGGCCAAAAGGTTAAGATTGAGGTTATATATAACACAAGTACATGTTTAAGGTTTTAAGATTGAATTCTTTCCATTTTATGTGCATTGTTTGACCAAAGATAATGAAATTTCACGTTTTCTTGTATTTTATTTCTCTAACTAGCATGCTCGTTTTTTTATGAGCTAATGGCATTCCAAGTTGTGGTGCACTCAAGAGTATTATTATTTAGGAAATTTTAGAAAATAACACCACTAAAACGTCACGATCTTAATTATAACACCAAAAAAAACAAAAATAAAAAAATTTATTATAACACCACAAAAAAATCCCAAAAATTGATTTCACCACCACTTAACAGATTTTTGGATGAAATCCGTTAGTAAGGCCATAGAAGACACGTGTCAAGTGTCTATTGGTTTAAATAAATAAATTAAAAATAAATAAATAAATAACCCCTAACCCAGCCATCCCACCACCGCAAAAACCATCCCAGGCGCCGGCATCCCCTACCCCCACAAAAGCTGACGAAACCAACCCCTTTAATCGCCGCTCCACCTCTTCCCCCCTTCCCCCTTCCCCCTTCCCGGAAACCACCCCAAGCCCTTCAAATCACCGCAAAACCATCTCTAGCCACCGCGAAATCCACCCCCATTTCCCAAACCGCCGCGAAATCTACACCCATTTCCCCCGTTTCTGCGTAATTGGCGGTCGAAATCGACCGATCGAGGGCTTGATTTCGGCCGTTTTGAGGGTGAAAGGTAAGGGATGGTGGTTTTCGGGGTTGATGTTACCGTGGTAGGTGGTGAATTACGGTGGGTAGGTGGTGATTTGAGGTGGTTAAACAAGGTTGGGGTGATTTTACGGATTTTTCACCAAATACCACTAAGTTAATGCGTAATTCACTATATACCACTCAGTTAATGTACATTAACACAAAATGCTATTTTTGGTAACTGCCGTTAACACCGTTAGTAATTAAGGTTAAATGTGCCACGTGACAGCTTGTAATTGGTTCTTATTAATATTATTTAATTACTTAAATAAAATAATAAAAAAAACAGCCAGGCCTCCTTCTCTCTCTCCTCTGACCGAACACCCAGACCACCACCAACGCTCAAACCACCGCCCAGACCACCAACCCAAAACCCCAAATGCCCAAAACACCGCCCAGACCACCAACCCAGAACCCCAAACGCCCAAAGCACCGCCGACGACTCCCTTCCTCGCTCCGACGCCTCACCCAATACAACGCCCCAAAAACTTAACCCTTCCTCCTCAAATTTGCCGCTAGAATACCCTCAAATCCAACACAACACGCCACCAAGCAGCCTGTAAGTCAGCCCTAGTTGCCAGAAAAGCCCCCAAATCTTGACATGACCCATGAAAGGTTTCTTTAATGGCGGCAATGAAGAGAGAAAATTGAGAAAAATCAACCATAAAATCGAGCGAAATCAAACCCTAAAATCGAGCGAAACCAAACCCTAAAGCTTTGAGAATAGAAGAAACCCATGATTTTCGACCTTCATCTCGAAACCCTAATTATCTGATTTCGTTTTGGGAGGAATGATTGAGAATTTGGGGATTCTTCGAGGAGAAGGTTTCGGGCTGAGGGGGTTGGTTTCGAGGAAGGGGCTGGTGGTTTAGGGGCAGGGGAGGCGCGACAGGGGGATGTCAATGCACCGGCGACTGGGGGAATCTGGTCGGATTTCGTGCCGGCAAGGGATGTCGGGATAAGGTGGTGGTCTGGGTGTTTGGTCAGAGGAGAGAGAGAGAAGGTGGCTGTTTTATTTATTTATTTATTTATTATTTAAGTAATTAAATAATATTAATAAGAACCAATTACAAGCTGCCACGTGGCACAATTAACCTTAATTACTAACGGCAGTTACCAAAAATGGCATTCTGTGTTAATGTACATTAATTCAGTGCTATATGGTGAATTAGAAAATTTTGTGTGGTATATGGTGAATTTTGCAATAACTCAGTGGTATTTGGTGAAAAATCTGTTTTCGGGGAGGGGGAAGAGGGGAAGGGAGAGTTTTGCCGGTTTTTGTGGGGGCAGGGGGTGCCGACAGCTTGGGTTAGGCTGTCGGCGCGGTTGGAGAAGGTGGTGCCGGCTGGGTTTGGGTTAGGTTTTTTATTAATTTTTTTTTTATTTTTTTATTTTTTTTGTGGTTATAATCAAAATTGTGATATTTTTGTGGTGTTATTTTCTAAAATTTCCTTTTATTTATTTATTTATTCTTTCTTCGTAGAATGGTTGCATTAAAATTTAGGATCGACAGCTCAAATAAAGGACTCCTTCTATTTTAAATTATTTTAAATTAATGGTGACACTAGCTCTTTGCATAACTTTTAAGACACAAATTTGACTCTAATAATAAAATGATGAGATAGAAATTTTCACATTGAATATCTTACAATATCTCTTATAACTATATTGTTTCTTATGCGTTGATGAGATTTATGTGATCAAAATTAGTACTATTCAACTTATGAAAACACTTGGGTCACTTATTTAGAGCGTATTGAGTACTTTGAAAGCGAGAGAATGCTTCTTGTCATAAAGTATAAGACCTTCATATGTCAATATGTGGCCTTAATTTAACATTGTCACTTTTTTTAATACGGTAAAACTATTAAAAAAAATTAAAAATTAAAAAAAAAAACATTTTTTTACCTGAAATTATATGAATTTTACTCATTAGACTTGAATAGAATTGATTGGACATAATTGCAAGAGTGTAAACTTAGCTTATTGAGCATTAATGATGTTTATTGAACTTATCATATTTGATTAAATTTATAAAAAAAACTATTAGACCTATTTTAACACACCCTTAAAATATGTCTGTAATGTCTGATTTTCCAAATACAAATACATGGTTCAAAGATCAACATGTCTCAAATACACGGATCAACATGTTATGAATAAAATTTTAAATCATCATTTTTCTCATGCTGTATTGCACTATTGCTCTTGCACTGACTTATGTGGGCTATGTTTAAGTCTCCTAAGATAAAAGAGTCACGTAAATGTTTAGCAATCTATGATAGAAATATTCCATTAAAGTTAGTAACGTAGATTGAGCCATGAGAAACGGTTCATATCATGTCATCATTTACATGACCATACTTGTCAACCCTAGCCCCATCAATCATGTATTGACAAAATTAAATTTCAGTAGTGATACATAAAACAAACAAAAGAAGACCATGTGCATTCCATCCCTTTTCCTTAGCTGTTGAGTCTACTTGCTTGTCAATTACATGGGCTCAAAATTGCTCAATTTGATAGAAGAAAATGATTGTAATTAATAGAAGAAAAATGATTTTTTTTTAAAATCAAATTGATACATGTAAAGCCATTTTAAAAGCACAATTAATAAATGTAATAAATACGTTAATTAAACCAGTCAACAATACTTGTTTTTGTTATACATTCCTAAATTGATACGTATGGAAAATAATATAGAAAAATTTGAAGTATTTATTAGTTGTATCCCTAAAACTTACATATATCTTTATCCATAAAAGAGTATTACATATTTTGGACGGAATATTTTAACAATTATCTGACCTTTGGGAAGCACTTCATATCTTGCATAAATGCATAATGCTAAAAAGATAATTGATGTACCATCTAAATAAATTCCAAAGTTTAATGTGTTGCCTAAAAAACACACCATGAAGTTGATAATGCATAGAGACACAGTAAATGAGAAGTTCGGTATCCTTGCCTAATCTTAGGTATAGACGTATAGTATCATTATGGCTTGAGCTCTCCCCACACCATAACAATACAAGTATAAATTTAAGATTAATAATAAACGTATATGATAGAACAATGTATACTACAAGAGGGGGGGTGAATTGTAGTGTATGTAGACTATGGTAAATTTTGCGGAATTAAATCTACTACTAAGAGAAAAGACACTGAGATAGGCAATGAATAAATTCACTATGTAAAAATGATTTACAATCACTAATACGTTGCCTAGACTCAAGTTCCGTGAGGAACTCAAGTTACCCAACTGTGATCCCTCAATCACAGTTTCTCACACTTTGTGATTCTACTCCGAATCACTTGTACAGTGTAAACAACTCTCTCAAATCTCACACTTTACAACTCTCACAACCCAAACCCAATTACACAATGATTACAAGTATTTTCTAAAGAACTTAAGAGACTAAGGATGGAAGGAACTTCTCTTTTAAACACACTGAAACTCTATGCTCAGAATACTTAAGATTGTTTTTCCACACTTTCAAAACTTAACGTTGATCTGTTTTTATAGGGAGATTATCCAAGCTTCCATCATGTTCCTACTTCCCCCTCAATCCCACGTTCACCTATACTGGGAAGTTGGGATGTAAGTGGAGGAAGTTGAGAACCATGATTTCACTAACTTGACTCCCAAATCCAACGTGCATCCTGTTTTTAAGCAAACAGAATTTTACCAAGTCAAAAATCAGTTTAAAAGAACATTTATTAAAAAGATAAATATTTATTTATTAAAAAGATATTTAAACAATTAATTAATTTAAAATAAATTTATCTTTTAAATTAAAGAATTATTTAGATTTTATTTATTTATAAAATAAATCTTTTCAACTGATTTTATCCCAATATTTTCAAACTGATTTTATCTCTTCCTTAAATTAAGGATTTTGAAAACTGTTAAAAACTTTTCTGAGTCATCCGTCAATCGTCAAGTTCCTTCAGGAACTTCAGGTTCCTTCAGGAACTTCATGTTTCTTCTTAGTTCCTTCCAACACTTTTGTTTCTTAAGTTCATACACTGAGTAACTAAGTATATAGAGATATGAGGACATCTTGAAAGCTTGCATTCATCATCAAGTCTTCCAAACTTTGTTGTTCCTACTCCGGAACATATTACTTCAAACCTGAATCTTCTGCTTAACCAAGACTCTTTTAAACATCATTAGTCGGAGTTTGTTTTACGTAAGTCAATCATCAAAATATAAGGTAGTCAATTCAACAATATTCCCCCTTTTTGATGATGACAAACAAAAACAAACTCGGTTAAACAAAATAATCATCCAGGCAAATTTCGGAACTATTAACAGTAAACTAATTATATAAACAAAACAGAAAAAAATAAACTAAGTATTAAGAAGTCTGCATCATTCTACAAATTAATAAATTATGAGATTTATACCTTTGCTTAAACGATGAAGACTTGAAGAGGAATCGGTTTGAGTCTAGCTTTCTGAGTTTGTTCTTCTCTTCCCCCTTTTGACATTATCAAAATGATAGAAAGAGCATGCTATATATAGTACT